CAAACTGTTAGGAACTACCCGCAGACAAAACCCAGTTCTAAAGTTTGGCTTGTTCCATTTGTTTTGTTTAGATGGAATGCCTTTAGGCAAAGTGGTTCACATCCCTCCCAGTATTCCTCTTCTTCCTCAACATATTCGTATATTATGTGCCTGCTCCCTAAAGGCACTTGAGTTTGAGACCAGTTACATCCTGACATCTCGAAATAACCATACCAGATATCAAGTTTATCTTTAAGGTCATTATTATGAACAATGTGATTTCAAGAGTCCCTACTAACTCTCTCTCCCCTTTCCTCCAATGCCCAGCCACACACACACACACACACACACACACACACACACACACACACACAGGTGCCCGCGCCTTAACCAAAGACACAACCTTCTATTATGTAATTGAAGACACTGGCAAAACTAGGACTACAGGTACATGTGTGCTTCATGGAAAGTAAGTGGACCAGAAGTCCAGACCTAGGTTTTGGCCTTGTTTTCACAATAACTCACAGTATAACTCTAAGCCAATATTTTATTTCTCAGAAATTCAATTTCTTTCCTTTCAATGTAATGAGCAAATTTCCATGAAACTCTAAATCTCTCCAATATCCTCTATACATATATATATTAAAATAAGCCTTTCAGCAAAGTATAAATTCTTCCTGCTTTGGATATGGTATAGAAGGGCCTAAGAGTGTGATAGGGAAACAGACTGACCTGATTATTAAAAGGGAAAGGAGAAAATGGATGAGAAAAGAACCCACCACTGAGGAAGAACAAAGAGCCTGACGACAATGAAAACAAACTGAAGTTTTACTTATGGTTGCCTTTCACTCAGTGTATGGAAACATAAATTACAGAAATGTTACTATCTCGTGTAATATAATTAAAATATTCTACTACACATCAACATTACTTCATCTGACTTCTCAACTTTTATTCTTAAATATGGTCAACTCTAATTTAATGAAGTTTTGTACTAAGCTTACACAGTATATTGAGTATCAGTTAACTATCCAAAGAGTTCTTTTTTTTTTTTCCTTAATTTCAACCAATATAAATGGTGAAAGAAAAAGAAAAAACAAGCCCAATAACAATAAGCAGCACCCAGAAAGCTAGAACCAGGGATGGATCTAGGAAGGCAGAAATCCATAAGTCCTAAAATGCTTTCTAAAAATCAAAACAGAAAAGGGTAGAAGCAGGTTATGAAGGACTTTTCAAGAAACGATCAAGGGCATGAACTTTATCTTGTGGACAATGAAAAGCCAGGAGTCATTTTTAAAACTGGGCAAATGACTTGGTTAAATTTGTGTTTCAAAAGATAATTCTGATGCCAGAGTACACACAGTACTTACAAAATACAACATACTATTATTATGTAGGCTGCCATTACTACAAAATGGTAACATGAAATTAAAATAAAATACTCACTGAAGCCATAAAATAAATTTCAAAAAGACTACATTGTTATTAAAGAAATTCACAGTGGGGTATGCTTTGCAGCAGGAGGTAAACAACCACACTTCTTAAAAACATTTTTTAAGTCTTCACACTACATACGTACACCTTTTTCAAATAAAACTAACACTTTAATATTTATGGCCATTAAGGCCACAGAATTTTTAAATATTTACCTAACCACAAAAGCACTTGACATTTTACGTATAGAAAAATATCTTGCACAGTAACTTAGACCTTTCAAAACCTCATATTTACCTAATCACACCCAAAATGATTTTGTTGAATAGCCAAAAACTATACTGTAGAGTATACAATTATATATGCTAATTTGTTTCATTTATACTATTAATTTTTCTTAGTTGTTGAAAAGAAAGTTTTGTGCTGTTTCTAAGAAAATCATTTTGTTTATACACTGTACTCTGAGTAACACTTTAAAGATAATGATATCCAGTATGTTAACTATTATCTCCATTATTTTGTTATGAACTTTTGTTTTATTTTTTCATAAGATTAAGAAAATGGCATAGAAATATAATTTGTTCAGTTCTGGAAAAAGCTTTTACATAGACAAGTGATTTTTTTTTCTTTTACTTCCTTTTACTTTCAGCTGACTCCTGGAAGACAGATTATAAACTTAGTGCTTTTTTTCTATGAACTCACCAAAGTAGAACAGAGTCAGCAGTAACTAGATTTAAACACTAAATCTCCTTAAGGGGAAAAAAAACCTTAAGAGCTGACGTATAGATTATTTAAATCAACTACTATAAATCTATTAAATCAAATGCTTCATAAACATGTACCATTATTTTTCAACATGGTACCTAATATAACATCCCAAAGTTAAAAATTACATTAAATCAGGGCCAGGGATTTAGCTCAGTGGCGCCGCGCCTGCCTCACAAGTGCAAGGTCCTTAGTTCGATCCACAGTACTGAGGGAAAGAAAAAAAGATGCTTAAAAATTACATTAAATCCACTGATACAATAAAAAATTTATACTGATACGTATTTTCAAGTAGTTTTCAAAGATGTTAATAAAAATGTTTAATTTCTTAAGGAAATGAAAGTAATAATTTCAATGAATCCACATATACTTTTTAAAAGAAAATACTCTCCATCCAAAAAATACAGAATATTTGTTCATCTTTTCCAATTATTACACCTTTGAAATTTTAGGTTAACAATATCAACATTCAATATTAAAGTAAAATTCCAAGAAAATTAATTTGTGACTCCTTATACTCACTCTTACTTATACCTTAACAAAAGTATAAATTAACTGAAATTAGTTTTAGAACTAGAAGGTATAACAGAATTTCTCTACTGAGATCCTCTGGTCTGACATGATACTGAGACTTAAAAAGAACCCTTGACATTTCCAACATTAACCAGGAAAGCCAAGACTTGATCTTCAATCCTTTCCCTACAAATCCAGGAAAATTTCCCTCTGGCAGGGTCTACCCAAATTCTTTTTTTCTTTCTTCACTTCTTCAAAGAAAGTGTTTTTACAATTATCATATACAATGGTTTAAAAATTACACAATCTTGATCTTTTACTTCCATAAATTTCCTCTTAATTTCTTTGACATGATACACATGGAGCACACACTATTAAAGAAGAACAGAAATAAAAATTCTTGCTATTATGATCTGTACTAAGTTAAAAATATTATTTTCTAAAGATGCCCAATAATATCATTTTGTGACACTAAAAATTAAGTAACCATGAATAAACTCTTGCACAATTAGCATATATTTTAAGACCCCAAAAAATGTTTCTACAGTGTAGAGTGCAAATAAGAGTTTCTGCACTAAAAAAAAATATGCATTTTTAAAAGCACAAATTGTATTATCCTTTAATACAAATTATAAAAGAAGCTACCTGGCATAGCACTGCACCTAATTAAAGCTTGAAAAAGGTCGATATGATGGAAAATGCACATTAGGATTAAAAAAAATTGAACTTTTCAATTTATAAGAGAATAAATATAACTAGCTAGATCAACAAATTATAGTAAAAAATATGTTCAACTTTTAAGTTCAGGAGACTTGTCTAAAAATGAAATTATTCCAAAAGACTTTTCTAGTGTCAACAGTCTATTCATTATATAGTCAAAAGTCAAATGTTATTCTATGCTATGAAAATGGTTGATACTACTTTGCTGTACAATGAATCCTCTCAAAACAATTTTTCTCCTGACACACATTTTTCTAAGTGTTGTCTATTATCACTGGTAGTAAACCTAGAAAACAAAGGGCACCGTAACATTTTTTTCATTCAGCCAAAAACAGACCACAATAGTGGCCTCTGAAGCCATCCAGAGAAACTAAGTGTTGCCTGGCGAACACTACAGATCAGTGTTTAATATGCCATAAAGTCAATGTAGCAGCCGGTAGATTACTGAAGAGAACACAAGAGAAGGAACAAACCAGAGACGAGTGCCAGGGATGTAATAAAAGCAAGAAACTTTTTTTCCAGTATACTGGGTCCCAGTGCAAAAAATATCACTAATCAAAGTCTCAACACCAACACTAACGACAGATACTCCTACTTAAAACCTCTACACCTGCCCTTTAAATTAATTGGGCAGAACACGACTGAGAACTGAAAATCTAAACAAATCATAACACAGCCACTTTCTGGACCTGTAAAATTGGTCACCTCTGTATGCCTCAATTTACTCACTTCTAGATGTTAACGTCAACTCACCCAAAAGGTGAGAGAATATAGGTAAAGCAGCACTCAATGAACAACAGCTATACTTACTGAGTTTTTTAGTAATATAGATCAAGTTTACCCAATGCTATCTAGAGATATAACTTCATTACTAATCATTTCAACTCCCTTAAGAAACAAAAATATGAAAGCCTACAAGAAAAACTGTAAATGGTTTTGTCGCCTTTCCAGACATTACTAACCTTTTAAAAGTTAAAATGTTAAGACATCCTCCTACCTATGCAACAAATAAACACGACCATGACTTGGTCTAAAAAATTGTATTAGTGTACACTGCTGTCTTCATTTAAGTAAGTTTGCTCCAAAGCTCATCGTTGCTCTTTTAAGATCTCTGACTGGTCCTCTCAATTATCACGATAATGAAACCCTACTGTTTAAAATCCACATATTTTTCCTCATCCTCATTGCTGTAGGTTATCTTAGGCAGCCATAACAGCGGAAAAGGTAAATGGCACCAAAAATATATACCAGAATACTCCAAAAGTGGGAATAGTCAACCTTATTAAACCAGAAATAATTCAACTCATTCTTCTGAGAACTCACCTACTGCACAAAAATCCATTCTTTAAAAAAAGAGTTCAGTAGGATTAGTGCGCTACTCCATTTCTATTGAAAGATAAAGGATACTTGCTTTTGACTGCAAAAAGTTCCCCTAATTTCGGAATCCTTTCCACAACAAAACATTGTTCCCTTCCCCTTCTTCTTTCCACTGGAAGCTAAAACGCTGTCATGTAGGCTGGTTCGGCGGGGGAGGCACGCGACGAAGCCGCCCTCGCATCCTCACCGGCGGCGCTCCCGGGCTCGCCTACCTGCTCCCTGGAAATGCAAGGCAACGAAGGTCTCCGGAACATTTTCCCACTGCCATAGTAACCGGCTGCGGTTTCTCCCAGCGACACGCAGCTGGACCTCCTCCGGGGTCTGATCACAGGCACTTTTTCTTCCGCGGTGCTGGACAGTTGAGGACGACGAGGAGCTTCCCTGATGTGGAAGAAGTGATCCAACCCCAGGGCCAGCAGGCAGCCGGCGCCCCCGGCTAGGCAAGACAGCAGCGGGCGGAGCGCGGCGGGCAGCGCCCCGAGGCCGCTGAACGCCACCCACCAGACCGCGCCGGCGAAAGGCAGCACCGGGATGCAGAGCCTGGGCCCCGACGGCTGCGCGAGCGCCAGCAGCCCCGCGCCGCTCAGCGCCAGCAGCAGCCGCCCCGCCACCGCCGCCGGGGGCGCGTGCGGGGCCCACGACCACCACGGCCACGCCAGGAAGTCCCCCAGGTAGCAGCAGGCGGGAAGCGCCAGCAGCCACCAGCCGCCGCTCCGGCCGAGGCCCGAGCCCTGCTTGGTCCGCGTCAGGAAGCAGGTGAGGAAGAAGAAGGCACAGGCGATGCTGAAGAGCGGGCTGAGGCAGAGCGAGCTCACGCTCAGCAGCGCCCGCAGCCGCGCCGCCCCGGCCGCCCAGCGCTCGGGCCCCGCGCCCAGCAGGAGCGCGAGGACAAAGGCGGCCAGGGCGCCCAGCGAGACGCGCGCCCGGGCACAGGGGGCGCCGCGCCGTGGCGGCGGGCGGGAGGCGGGCGGCGGCGGCTCCACGTTGCAGAAGCGGCAGAGGTGGAAGAAGAAGCCGCGCGGGGGGTCCCGCCGCAGGGGGCTCACGCAGCCCTTCACGTAGCCGTTCCGGCGCAGGCTCTCGGGGGGCGAGGCGGCCCCGTCCGGCGACGGCGGGTGCCTCATGACTTTCGCGTCTCGCTCGTCCCTTCTCATGGCCGGGACCGGCGGGCACCGCGGGACTCCCGCGCTCGGGCGACCCCTAGGATCGCGTCAGGGGTGCGACCGCCGCCGCCACCGCCCGGGGTCCCCGCCGCGCGGGCTGAGGGGCGGCGGAGTCCTCGACATACTGGCTGAGGACGAGGCGGCAGGGGCTTGTCTCTCCCGGACCGTGCGGCCGCCGCCTCCTTTTCCCTCGGGCACCGCTCGGGAGTGGAGACGCGGTGTCTGCTCGGCTCCTGCCGGCTGCAACAGTTACCTCACGGCCCCAGCCTGGTCCGTTGGGCGCGCGGGCGGGCGCTCCTCCCCCCGCCGCGGCCCAGTCGGGCGCGCGCCCCGCCCGCCGCCAGCCCGCGCGCTCCCGAGCCCCGTGCCGCGTCCCCGCCCACCCGCCCGGGGCGCGAGCTCCGGTCCCCTGACCCGAGGGGCGTGCCCGGGCGGAGGAGAGCGCGGCCCCGACAGTGCGAAGGGGCGCCGGGGCTGGCGGAGACGCTCGGGGTCCCCAGCTGAAGGAGAGGGCGAGCCCGCCACGCTGGGACCCTAGGCTCTCAGGTTCCCACGGGGCACTCCCTCCCAGACGCCCGAGTCAGCCGGGCTCCGACCTTCCGGGGCCTGGGGAGAGAAGGTGTTTGGTCCCCAGGGGAGTGCCTGGTGGATACTGAGGTAGGAGTGGCACGGGTGGGGCTGGGCCACCTCTAACCTCAGGCGGCTTCACGGTGGGCCCTGAGAGTGTGAGCAGAGCTGTGACCCAGGAGGGCAGCCACCACGAAGTCAGGATGAAGAAACCCTCATTGCCGCGCCCAAATCTGGCCTCAACGTGGATTCTTGGGCCACGCAGCAGGCCTGGGACCCTTACTGTGGCCTGAATCCTAGAGCATCCATGTCTGAAGAACCATTTGCAGTTGGAACTAAGGTCTTTGCACCTTTGCCGTACTTAAGCACTGGTTCATATCGTGTGTCCTCGTCAGGCACAGCTAGATTTGCTGTCGCATATGTTCTTTCCAAATAGAAGGCCTTTTCACTGTAACAGCATGTTCTAGAGGGGGCCATGGGAGGGAGTCCCAGTTTAGATCAACTGGCCTTCAAAGGAGGCAAATAAGATGCTGTCTCAAGTACTGGTGAAACTAGCGACACTGGGAAACGGACTTGGAAGTGGGAAGAAAAGAACTTTGTTGTACCAAAGGATTGCTCTGGGATCTAACCAATCATAACTGCCTTAGAGAATGAGCTATTTCCCTCACCCTTCGGCCTCCTGACAGGCCTGCATTTCTCAAAGAGCTAATTCCACATTTTTCCAAGAAGATGAGAAATCTTACTGTGTGGTAAATCCCACAATCGGGCCTATTTTTCACCAATTAATCTCTGCCCACAGCCCTAAAGCAGACCATTTTTGTATATGGACATCATTCAAATGCATAGCAGAAATCACTTCAAAATTAGCGTAAGAATTAGACCAAGATGACAAAGATTCTCTTTCTTTTTCTGTATATTTGATAAAGGAAAAATATTTAATAATGTTTTCTAATAACTACCTAACTGCTTGTCCTAAAAAATAAAAATTCATTAGGTCTTTTTTCTACCAGAAAATTGAAAAGGAAAAAAAAACACCCTCATTTCAGCAAAACTCAGTAAATACATTTTTTAAATCTATGCATAGAATTTATCGCCACCAGGTGAAGATTAAAGTAGGAAACTGAACTGATAAATTTGGAGCTTGTACAGACAGGCCTAACAAAACTAACACTAGCATTACTAAAATGCCCATTATAATTATAAGTTCTTTTAGTAAATAACTTATTGATTGAAAAAGTAAATTAAGATTAAAGGTTTTTTACTTTGTTTCTTAATCTGAAGTTGTCATGTGAGATAAGATAGGATAAGATAGGAATGGTAATGGAAACAGTAAACTAGAAATCCAGTTTCTTGAGTTTTGGTTCTAGCCCAGACATTTGTACCTTGACATTAAGCAAATCATGTTCACAGGCTTCATTCTTCTCAACTGTAAAATGAAGTAGTTTAATTTAGATGACTTTTAAAATCCTCTTGCTTTTAAAAGTCTATAATTTCTATATCCCAAAAGCATATAGACATCCTTAGGTACCTTTCAGACTACCAAGAGGATTCTTTGAATGATATTTGCCACCCAACTAAACCAAACTCTCAGTGTTGACAAGTAAAAATAAAGGGGTTTGTATTAAAGGACTGTTCTCTGGAAAAGTAAAATTTAATGCCCCTTTCATAAAATTATTTTATTTTTCAATTCTAAAGCCTTCTTTAAGCAATCATCAAGATTATGGGGCTAAAAGCCCGGCTCTCAACAACCCAGAATTGGACTGCATCCCTCTGAACACCTACCCCCGACCTGTGGTGATTCTAAAATAAAATGACCAAAGACCATCAGAAGTTTACTTAACTAAAAATATGCACAGAAAGAATGAGCTAGCTATGTTTATAGCAACTTCTTTCTCTGTTTACAGTCTTTGTCAAAGATTATTACTGGACTGCATTTCTTAGAGGTCAAATTATTTAATTATTCTTCTGCTAAATTTAAACAACCAATTGATTTACTTAGCTCTTGTCTTTAGGTTCAAGAATTTATGATGATTATCTGTTGTGACAAAAGCCCTAATGTTCCAGCATAGCTTTCACTTTTCTCAGCACTCTAGTCTAGCTTCATTTTACCTGACTGCCTTCCCTCACATCTTGACCCATGATCATTTCACTTTCTAGTGGATCTTTTCACTCTTCCAGTTTGGTCATCCGTGAAATGGATCATGGTGCTCAGTACCCATTTCCCAAGTCATTGTAGTGCAATGCAAGCCCTGTGTATTCCTCTTTTCTAGTAATGGGGTCCTTGCCCTCAAGCTCCAAAGACCCAGAGTTGCCCCATGTGATCCAAGGAAGAACCTTGCCTAGATCTTTTCAGTCTCATGGCCCAACACTGTGCCCTTAAAAACTAATTTAGTGCCTGAGGACCTCCTTATCACTGACAACTCCTAGATGACACCTTGCCTCCCACTTGTCTACCAGTTAGGACATCCTGTTACTGGGCTCCTCTGGGACCTCTGGTGATAACCATTGGCACATTGGAAATTGCCTGCCCAGTAAATTTCCTGTCCTCACCTTGAGCCTTCATCCACAGAGAAGCCAAAGAATAACTGAGTCTTGTCCTAGGTTTCATTCCCACCTCCTCCCACCCTCTTAACTTCTACCAAGTGTAACTCTCTATTCCCGTGTCTTATGCCTTCAACCTTTGTTTTAGACGGATTATTTCCTAACTCTAAAGTCCAGAGGTAAAGAAAATACATTTCTGAGCAATATTCCCAGAAATTCCTTTCCAGAATCAAATCTAAGTGAGTCTTTCCAGCTGCACCTCTGGTTACTTTATTATGGTTTTATCATGGAATTTAAGTGGGAAGGGATAGAACAGGAAGTTGGATGAGGTATAGGAATCTCTCTACTCATTATTGCTTGTCTAAAGAAAGTCACATAATCAGACAACACCTCAAGATCAGATTTGCTAAGGACAGTTGGAAAGAGGAGAATAATGATAAGTTCTTTAAGAAATTTTTTTTTTTTTTTTTGGTTTTTTGAGGCAGTGTCTCCCTTTGTAGTTCAGGCTGGCCCTGAACTCTATGTAGCCCAGGTTGGCATCAAACTTGAGGGGATCCTCCTGCCTCAGCTTCCCAAGTGCTGGGATTACAGGCGTGTGCCACCATGCCCAGCTAGAATGTTTTATTATTATTCCTACTCTACATTGTCACCTTTCAACTATTGTTTTCAAACATTTCTCAAAAGAAATGTTATACAAATAAAAGCAGACTACTCTTGTTTAAGTGGCGGTATCCAGACCCAGAGCCTGACAATTCCACAGGTCTCTGGCACCTTCTATGCTTAACAAACCCTTCTTTCAAACCCCTGCCTCATCTTAAATTAAACCCTCTGAAATAGACCATATACAAAAAAAAATGGATTTAAATTAGATTTGGCAAAGTGCCTAGAATAACTGAGTACTCTTTCTCAATGTAACTTTCCAAACGTCATTGATAAAAACAGCCCTAATTTCTCAGGAATAAAGATAGAAAGGGGCGTGACAAATTTTAAATATCAAATAAACTTTCAGAAAAAGCCAGTAAACTAACCAGTTTCATTGAGATTACAAATTTCTAAAACTAGTCTTTCCTTAAGTTACATGAAAATCTTATATGGTTTTAGAAGAATAAAAGAATTAACATTTACAAACTGATTGGGAAATAAAAACATACTAGCTTTTCTCCTAGTCAGCTATCATCACAAAAGGATAATTCTGTTTTCTTTTTCTTTCTTTTTTTTTTCATTGAGTTTATTGGTACATTTTAGGTATACAATACAGTTACATTTATCATTGGGATCTTGTACCTTTACATGATGTATCTTGGTTCTTATTTTTTCCCCAAGGATAATTCTGTTTTCAATGTGCACTGGCAACTCTGCTTCCCAAGTATGTTACAATACATAATTTCCTGCCAGCTAAGACCCACCTCAGAATGAGAAGCTCCCTTTTACTCAGTCTTTAGTTCCTCTCAAGTATTTATTGAGTGCCCACTATTTGCAGAGCACCATGCTAGATGCTAGTTAGAACATTAAAAACTGAGAGTTCTGTCAGTGCTTCTTCAGAGCTACAGCTTTAATGGGATATAGGGAATATACACATAGTCTATGAAAGAAAATATACAATATAACTGTTGGGGACAATATAACTGTTCGGGACTATTAAAAAATAAAATACTCGAGGAAAAACAATGCCCGCCTGAGGAGACCCACAAGTTCTGTCGGGAGACCGCAGCCCGCCCAGAGGAAGGTGGCCCCTGAGCCCGCCCGCACGTAGCCCGAGGGAGCTTTCGCCGGAGGCTGGACCTGCGAAATGGTCGAAGATGAATCCCCAACAGCGCATGGCCGCCATAGGGACCGACAAGGAGCTGAGCAACCTGCTGGACTTCAGTGCGAGGTTCTCCCCACCTGTTAATAGTGGGAAAACCAGACCAACGACACTGGGAAGCAGTCAGTTCAATGGACCAGAAGTTAGAAGATGATGAAACACTTTCCACCTTG